GTGAAGGATGCTCTTCTGTTTCAGCTATGTCCAGCAGAGACGGCACTGCCGTTGTCTCATGCATATACTCCGCTAGGCTCACTCTGCGTGCAGTGGCGCCACCTACAGGCAGACGTAGTCCACTGCTACCTCGATTCGGCGCGAGCTCCATCAGTGGCGCATCGATGACTTCGGCGATGCTCTTGCGGCGCCCCCTAGTGTTGAGCGGAGCGGCGAGTAGCAGACGATCGACCGTGCGTATCTGCTGCTCGTTCATTGTGTTGCCGAGCGTTGCCAGCATGCTGGGTCGCCGCGGCGACGTAAAAACAAGCTTCTTTTCCGCACACTCCACATCTTCCCGGGTATTCGGAGTAACAGTGATTCCCGGAGAAGCCGGCAGCACTGCGTGATGGCTGTCGCGCACTGCTATGTTGAGCCGCGAACGACTCACACGCTCAAACTGATGGAAGCTGCGCGAGAAAGATGAGGAGAGATCTGCCTCCGGACCGTCGTCGGATGCGGTCGACGAGTTGTTACCATCCTCTAACATCTTCATCCTCCACAGCCACTGTCTCCAGGCGACGGTAGCGCCATCCTGTGCCGTGAGTTGGAAGTACTTCGTAGCACCGTTAGCGAACCTCGCCCGAAGCATCGTGTCGCTGTAGCTGTACACCGACAGACGGACACCCCTGCTCGGCAGCGCCGCCGCTCCGCAAATGCTCACCAGCTCAAACTGAGGCACGTGACCTGTAAGCGATTAGGGATTACAACCAACAGAGGACAGCACCGAGGACCACGCGCGAAACGCTTTGATGTGTTCATGGATATATACAAACATGTGTGCATGTGTTTGTTATATAGCTATGAGTTACATCGCGTTGTTAACCGAGCCACCGAAAGTGGCGTTTTTCAATGCGTTAAGATTTCGATATGATCAACACAGGCTTGCCTACCAGCTGGTGCTAGGGTACTGTGGACGTCGTCAGCAATGATGAACTTGTCAGGCGTGAGACCAAGATAGACGGGGCGCAATAGCGACCTATCCCGCCTCACTTCAGCAAACTCGTTCTCCACTAAAACTATGTCCATGAAATCGCAATACTCCTCGGACCATAGCAGATTCTGTAGATGCTTTGTCATGATATATTGGTGAAGTGTAACCCTACTCTATCGTCTCTATGTGTATGAAGTAGACTTGCATTGCCATACTGATAGCAAAAACACCAACGAATTGACCACTTCTTCACTTCACTAGAAACGCATGAATTTCGCCACAGCAGTAAATTTGTCTAAATATGGTTACTATAGAAACCGTTTATGAACACGTACCTGTTAGTACATTGAAACACATCAGAAATGACTACAGAAAGTTCTACACAAGGATATGTGGCATTTAGAATGTTATAATAACAATGAGGCAGCTGGTAAACAATGACATGCTGCTGTTTATGCTAAAAATGTTTATATTCAGATGTATAATATCGTCACATATTATTATGATGTGCGAGTGCCAAGGTATAAAACAGGAGACAAAGAATGAAAGACGTGAAAAGGCGCGTAATTTTTGTCATGACGACATTTAATACCATTTACAGGCTACTATTGTGACATGAAGATTTTCCTAAAAACAGTACCTCGTAAAATGTACACAAGTTATAGATAAAACACTGACTCTGTACAAATTTACATTTCCTACATGGAAGTTAACGCTTACATTGACGGGAAATGGGTAACGTTGCAACACAAGATAGCAGCACTTACTGGCCTAGATTACAGATCGCTTGCCCATTCATTTGAAATATCCAAGTATATTCTCCTCTCCCACTAAGTATTAGTTAGTGACACGATTAAATATGTATCAACCTAAAGAATATACGATGAGAGTGAGCAATGTATAGAATTGCGTTTTTCCTAAATTATTTTGGTTATTAGATCATCACTAATATTTGTGTATGGTGGTGTAGGCTGTACAATAGGTGCTTCATTGTTTGTAGTAAACAGCATACGTACACCAAAGGTCAACAGGATACACATGGTTCTTACTAGAATAGAAATGCAAGTTGATAAAGACATGTACTGTTACAGCATAATGGACACATAACAACATGTACACATAGACACAATATGGTTCAAACACTTAAACCAATGATCGTTCATGTAACACAAACACCATCCATCAATCATATCACAAACAGTGCATTTTAAAATAATAAACATTCCATGCTTTATCGACGTTTAGTAACTTAAACTTGTAACTACCTTTCACCCAACACTGTATGGCTGGCTAGAAAAGACCAACAAGAAAAAGTGCCCCTCTAAATTGCTATAGGTGATACCTGTACATTTTTTATAAGCAGAAATCTGCCCTACTGCAGTAGCTACTCAACCAACCCTGTATTACAACATCATCACATTCTACATGCTCTCTACAAGAAATTTTATTTCATTTTGTAAACCTGCTCAAACATTTGTGCAAAATAAAACGGTATAAGATAGTATAGTATAGCATTGTATAGTAGAGTAGAGTATATAATATATGAATAAACAGAAAAGATTTATAAATCTAGATTTTACAATTGTGTTGACATTCACAGATAACAGATATCAATGCACACAATAAGCTATTGTGTAACATCTACTGCAGCGATGTTTTCATGTGTCTTTTGTTTGTATATATAATGAGTAACAACTGAACGGCTAATGTGGACACACAGGAAGCACATTCACGCCACCTGCACTCGCACACAGGGTGCCTCTGAAGTGGGAAGTGTGTGTTTGCGCACGCTGATATAACACGACATCTAGCACATTTTTTCCGTGGGCATTTGAATAACAATTGTGCATTGATATGCAACCATTCGGGTGGATATGCACACAACAATTATGCTATAAACATGTAGCACTTACTGGTGACACGTCCACCTAGTGTTAGTGAAGTCTGACCCCTACCTTTGAAACACTAACAGTAGCTGGAGAGTGAAGTATTCTCTCCTATCGCATTCCCTAATCACACACAGAAACAAACATCCATGATATCTATTTAGATCCACATTGCTAGAACTAGTGCATCCCTCCAGGTGGGATGGGGTGGAGTGGGGGTATTTTTGTGTGGTGTCACACTGTGTTGCGTGCACTAAGTTTCTACAGGGATGTGGTGTCACACTGTGTTGCTTGTCTTGCAGTAAGCTTCAACAGGGATGTGGTGTCCCACGGTTTTGCTTGTCTTGCAGTAAGCTTCAACAGAGATGTGGTGTCACACTGTGTTGCTTGTCATGCAGTAAGCTTCTAGAGGGATGTGGTGTCACACTGTGTTGCTTGTCATGGCAGTAGCTCTAGAGGGATGTGTGTACCACTGTGTTGGCATTGTCATGCGTAGCTTCTAGAGGGAGTGGTGTCACATGTGTTGGTGCTTTCTTGCAAATAAGCTTCTACATATGCTTGCAATTTCCTGCTTGCTGCTGCCGATCGTTCATGAAGCATATTAAGTTTGCGCCACAGTTAGACAGGCAGTTCATTCATATTATGAATATCAATGGCAGTGATACAAGGCAGTATGCGGCAACAGTATTGCATCGATAACAAGGCAGTATCGGGACAGGTGTGCACGATACAAGGGTCAGTATCGCCAGTATTGCACGATACCACCACAGTACACGATATGGTGTGGTTATCCAAGCGCGAGTACTTCAGCTGCTGGGGCGACACCAACAGTATCACATAGTTCTGGGCATGAGCAAAGTGATAGCACAGCAGAATATGACACACGTGCACAATGTCAGCAGTAGCAAGCATGATATAACACATCAATGATAACAATTTGCAGGACAAGGTATATAGCCTTGCAAAGTCGTTCCAACGGGCAGAATCGGAAACACCTGGGCAAACACTCCAACTTTCGCCGATCTTCAGCTATTCGCAGCACAACATCCAATCATATTGGCGCGCTCTGTCAGTACACCGCCGCAGCACGTGCGGTAGTAGTAGCTCAGAGTACTATAAGCGCTGCCAATCCATCGCAGGTTTAGGCGTTAAATATTACGCTCTTGGGCAATCGGCATTGCCAGCGTGCCAGATTAGTCCGGCGCATTATGTACACGAGGGCCGCATCCTGATTGAACGGCTAACAGCTATGCAGATTCGTAGATATAATATATTTATGTCACAACGGTGTCACAGACACTGACATTAGGGCTCATAGCAGAGGTGTAGGTCATACTCCGATCAGTTTAGCTTTAGGGGCTCAGCGTTGAGGGCTTCGCTCCACATGCGTCTCAGATCGGCCCTGCAAAATCGCATTAAGCAGACAAACACTGCTGTAGCAAAACTTACAGTAACCCATACATTGGTTTGTATGTCAAGGCGTAAATGAGGACCCCCGGGGGGCAAACTGAGGGCACGACTCACTCGGCGCAGCACCGTTGATGAAGTAGCATGATTAGCCTGGCAAATACGTACAACGGAGGGAGGGGGCTGCAGCTAGCGCGAAAACCAGTTCTTAGCTCTGTTTGGCTTGCCTAACCCCTCCTCCCCCCCCCTCGTCGCTCCCATCGAATTACGTGCGGGCCTGAGAGAAGAGGGAGCCGAACACACTAGGCACACATCCTCACTAACACATGATGTATGTATGTACGTTAACTCGGATTACGATGATGACATTAATGTATAAGAGGGCCTCTCGAAATGCGTCTATTCTCGTGCTTCGCCTCAGGATCGCCTCAATGATGCAACCCTGTGAGCAAACGCCCAGATACGGCAGTCGCACTAACAAATCGCCGCCGTGTGGGCAGGCCGGCCCACCAGTCGTTCTCATACAAACAAACAGGCTTCGAAATTAGGGAGCAACAAGCGGCAGTTTGTTGCCTACCAGCGGGTCAGTTTGCTGCCTGCCTCTTAACAAATCGGCACAAATACTTGCTGGCCAAACAATTCTAAATAGTAAAAGCAGCTGTCGTACTGACTTTTTCTCTGGCAGCAACTACTTGGCTGCCTGACGAAAAAGTTCAACGCCAGCGCGCATACCTTCAGGTTAAGCATGAGCAGGCACGTGGAAGCAGCGTGAAATGGCAGCGCAAGGTACAGTAGAGCGGGCTGCGGCGGCTACGGAAAAATTCCGATGACACCTTGTCGCTGTCAGCAAGACCTGGCGGGTTCAAACGACGATCATTATTCAAAACCACAGGCAAAAAAAGAACGGGCGTATCAAATTCCTGTGCAACTGGCACAACGTGGGCAACTTGTTGGCCACAATCAAATGAAAACATCCGCGATCATAACAATGCAAAATCAGTCAAGGCAGGCTTCAGTTGCGAATTACATCTACAAATCAATAGAGCTTATAATCTCTAGCCGAAAAAAACTGCACAGTCACTTGGCTCGTTCAGCGACTTTGTTACAAGATTTCTGCCGGTGGCGATGTAACTGTATCTAGCGCAGAATCACGACCCCGGAACGCCAAAGTCTCCACCGGCACTGCCCCACTTACACGGCACGCACCGCATGCATGCCAAAGCCACGCATCAGCCAGCAATGCACGCACACATTGCACGGCGACACCACGGCACGCACACACGCACACACACGGCAGCACGCACACCAGCACGGTGCAACACGCAGCACGCACACCACACGCACACGCACACGCACACGCACACCACACGCACACGCACACGCACACGCACATACACACATGCACGCACGCACGCACGCACGCACACACGCACGCACACACACTCGCACGCACATACACACGCACGCACACAGGGGGCAGCTCTCACCTAGGAAGTATCCTATGAGGGAGCAGTGGAAGTAGGTGACCTTGCTAAAGTTGCTGGCGGGCGGCGGCAGGCCGGTCTCGGCTGACTGCAGCTGCGCGCGCTTGTAGGCGTCGTAGCGCAGCACGAAGCAGAGCAGCAGGCCCGGCATGACGATGTCACCGAGTCCCAGCATGGAGAAGTGGCCCGTGTTGTGCATACTGCAACACAAGATACGCTCACGTATGAATGCACACATGCATAATTGTAGCGTCACCACAATCACCCCGAAACTGATCACCGGGAATATCATACATTTATTTATTAAATCGAAGGCATTACGTATTACATAAACGAGACTGTAACGACCGTGTTACCTATGATAGATGCACTCACCTGGGGAAGACGAGCTTTCCTGGCAAAGACAGCTTTGGCGTATCTCGCATCATGCCCCCTAGGTGGAGCCTCTTCGCCATTGCACCAACCTGTCGAACAACAACAACAAGAGTCTTAACTCTCAAACCGGCATCCACGTGACATTGACAACATTACAGGCAGATTTACGTTACCACGTTGCGACGTGGAGCAAAACGAGTGATCGCACGCTATAGGTAAGGGTAACTTACGGGATTGTCCGCCGGTCTGGTTGCTACCTTCACCATGACGTTGGCATTGAAGATATATGAGGAGAAGAAGACCTGAAGAAAGAAATTGACACGATGGAATCTGAGATGCAGCCGAGTATAGCAAGAATATATTACAAGATGCAGCGATTAGTCTGCAGGTACGGTGTCTGGATATACGGTGTCTGCAGGTATGGTGTCTGGATATACGGTGTCTGCAGGGATGGTGTCTGCAAGGATGGTGTCTGGATATACGGTGTCTGCAGGGATGGTGTCTGCAAGGATGGTGTCTGGATATACGGTGTCTGCAGTGATGGT